CCAGTGCAACCGGGGGCGGAAGGTGCGTTGGAGCCACCATCGCCAGCGCAATGGACCATGCGGCTGGGGCCTCACTTGGGCGAGAGCCCTCACAAGAGCCAACGAGAGCCAACGGATTGGTTCAAGGAGCAAGCATCCTAACAGTTGAAGTTGGACGAACCGACCCCAATGAAGAGCTCCTCGCGGATCGCAAAGCCCCAAAGGCGGAACGCAAACGAACCAAGGAACACAGAGCCGCAAAGAAGAAGTGCAACCGACCGCTGCGAGTCAATGGCTGCAGGCCGGCGATTACCGTTTCGTCCTACCCAACCCACAACCGATCAACGCTCGGCACCTGCGGAGCCGATGGCAATGCAACACCATGCCAGCATCGTAAACGTCTTGGTTTGTGACCATAGCTTTAAAGTCCCCACTCCAGCCGAAAACCGATCATACACATCTTTGCCGGAAAGGGTTCTTTCCGTGAAATTGCTGGTAAAAATTGGCTTCCCAACGAGATGAACTCAACAAAGCCGGGCGCGGTGATCGCTTTACATGTTGAGTGTGTTTGACCTATCGCCACGGCCTATTCGAACAAGACCACAGCAAGCTTCGAGCATCGAAAGCCCCACAGGTTTTGGAGTGTCTAGTATGTGAGGTAGTTTGAGATTACGTAGAGCGTGGACTGCTTTAGGGCAACCCTCTTCGCCCTAAGCTTTAATCCGAGTCTGAAGCGCAGCATCCGAGGACTCATCTAAGCTCCCGACGGGCCGAGGGACTGTGTACTCTGCGCCGTGGCATGTAGCCACGCATCGCGCACTCGTTGGCGCACGTTTTCTTAGTTCAGGTCCGGTCACTTATTGCTGCAAGGTTACATGTCATGTCGATGTGTAAGGCCGTGGCCGGGCATCTCTCCGAAGGATCGCGGCGGCGGCGGCATTCCACCACGCAATCGTAGCAGCAAGTGAAGGGTCGATTCCTTCTGGATGTTGTAATCCGAAAGGGTGTAACCGTCCTCTAACTGCTTGCCAGCGAAGATCAGGCGCTGCTGGTTGGCAGGGATGCCTTCCTTGTCACCGAGCTTGGCTTTGACATTGTCGATCGTGTCACTGGCCTCAACGTGCAAGGTGATCGTCTTGCCTGTCAGGCTCTTCACGAAGATCTGCATGCCACCTCGCAGGCGCACCTCCATCCGGCCGTGCTCTAGCTGCTTGCATGCGAGGGCTGAGAGGCATGGGGTTCCGGGATTGCTGAGCAGACCAGCGGCTTTATCAAGTAGATTGGAGGTCAGGATAGTATGACCCAACTGGAGTGTACTATTAGTAGCAATTGCAGTTGATCGAATTCAAACTCGTGAAACCCCCTTTTGCCCACCTAAAAAGAAAAGCATCCATGAAGCCCAGTTTGGATTGTATCATTAACCTCCTTGCGAAGCCCCGGATTACAAAACAGGGTCGACTCGTTTATGGTCTCGAGAAGTAAATCCTAAACCCGAAGACTCTCAAGGTTTTGAGGGCTTGGGCTTCGCTCTACAGTAACTGTTGACTCGCAAACCTGCTGCGAACTCTCTACACAGCCTGACCTCAGTAACCAGATGTCATGCAGCATGGCACTGAATGCCCTGGTTGTAACTCCTGAAGGAACGTTAGTGCAATACATACATACAGACATACATACATACATACGCACACCCGTACATACACACACACATACAGACATACATGCATACATACATGCATATATACATATATATATATACATACAGACATACATACGGATAGCCAAAATATCTATACCCATACGTACATGCATACACAGGTTCACATAAACCTTTATCCATACATATATATATATATATATATATACATATATGGTCACCCCCCCCCCATGACAGACCATCCCCTTCAAAGCATCGCTCCCACCGGCGTGTTCGTGCTTTTTCCGGGGTATCGAGTTTGAGCCCTCCGAACGTATCTGTGGAACCACCAAAAGACTGAGACCCGTTGACAGACCATGCCCTTTCAACTCAGTCGTAGCGCATGGTCTGTGATCGGGGGGAGGTGGCACTCAGCTTTCAAAAACTCAATTCCAAAATTTCCAAAATTTCCAAAATTCTCTCCCCTAACTTTCCGGATTTCCAAAATTTCAAAAAAAAAATCCAAAATTTCCGAAATTTCCAAAATTTCCGAAATTTCCGAAATTTCCAAAATTTCCACAAAGTCCGCCCTTATGTTTTGGAAAAATCCTGTCGGCTAGGTCGGGCCGTTTTGGAAATTTTGGAAATTTTGGAAATTTCGGAAATTTCGGAAATTTTGGAAATTTTGGAAATTTTGGAAGTTTTGGAAATTTTAGAAATTTCGGAAATTTTGGAAATTTTGGAATTTTTGGAAATTTTGGAAATTTTGGAAATTTCGGAGATTTTGGAAATTTTGGAAATTTTGGAACTTCTGGAATTGATTTTCAATGGGCTGATTGTGACCCATCGGATGACAGACCATGCACTACGACTCACTTGCAAAGGCAAGGTCTGTTTAGACGATTGTCAGTGTTTATCTATTTTTCTAAATTGCTACTCCTACGAATACTATTACCAATACTCATTCTGGCATTGATCAGTTGCTGACTGCCCAAGCTATTACCAGCATTAACACTAATATTTACACTTTTTTAAGCCAATACGAATAGGCACCATACAAATAACAAAGACTAATAATGATTAATACTGATGTTCATACTCCTACGCATATCAATAATTATGCCCATATTGGTAGTAGTGTATTTTAATTCCAACACTAATACACACCTGCATTTACCAATGTACATAAATATACATACCACTATATTAAAGCACAAACACATTAGCTCATGCATGTATTCATCTGTTAGTATTTTCATGTAATCAGGAGTAGTACTAATATAGGACAAACGTTCATGCGAATACATAACCTCATTTTAATATTAGCACTCGCACTAGCACTATTACTAATACCAACCACACTGTTTATACCAACACCAAGATTTACATAAGTATTGATACTCCTACGGATACTACTGCGTATACTCTTATGCTGTTAACAGTAATGCTGTCACCAATACTAATACTGACATTGATAACTTGCTGAATATTCAACATAATGCCAGTATTAATACCATTATTAACACTTATACTAAGGCTAATGCGACTATAGATAATCCTAATACGAATATGAACATTAATACTCCTACGAATACCAATAGTCATATTCATATTGATGTGAAGACTAATACCATTACAAAAGACACGTGCATATGCTAATGCACACCAGAACACATACCATTAACTTAAAATGCCGATATGTATCAATGCATTCATGTACTGATGTTTTAGGACAAGCATATACCCATATACCAATGTAACAATACACTACTTGTTAATGTGTGACTATACTATACTAGTATGCTATTATACTAGTATGCTACTATACTAGTATGCGACTACTGTAATATGCAGGTATACCGAGGTGGCAGGTTAGTGTACTAATATGACAACATACTGATACACTTATAAATCTTTAGACAATACACGTATATTGCACATACTAGTATACTAATACACTAATGTACGAATATACTGGTATGTTAATATACTGATATATTACTACAGCAATATACTAGTTTACTCATGCATCAGTTGTACTAAAGTATTAAATCTACGAATATGCAAGTATACAAATATGTTGCCTCTCGAACACATCAATGTGTTGATATACTAACCTGCTGATATACGAAACTATCAGAATAGTAACATATCGAAACTAACTCTAATTTTGATACCAATACTAGCACCTCTGCCATTATTAACTGATATTAAACCCAGCATGAAGACTGATACTAATACTAGCAGTGGTACTATTACTGGCATTGACACTGGCACTAACACTAAGACTAAATCGAAGATGAGCACTAACATTAATGTATACTTACTACTTTCGATATATACATATATATATATACATACTTACAGTAAACACTAATACTATTGCTGATACTAATACTAATACCAATATTAATACTCATACTCATCCTATATCAATGCTACCACAAAACTCATAACTCACGTGTCGCGCATCTGGTCCATGCGTCCTCAGTACATGGCATGTTAAAAGTGTACTTGGTATATGTACTGTAAAGGATTTGCTTTACAGATTGTCGTCATGTGTGGTGTGTTTAGATGCAATATCTCAGCCTAGTCACCGAACGAGAGTACACTATCACAAGGGCATGGTCTGTCAACGGGGGGGGGGGGTGAGCATATATATATATATATATTGTATATGTTTAGCACAAGGACATACATACATACACACGTACAAACATACAAGCATTTGTATATATGCATAGGTATATATTTACATATAAATATACAACTCCCGCCTTGCTCCAAGCCACACGGAATTGCTCCTCCAACTCTGCCTGAACTTTCTCCTGCACGGTGAGTTCCGAAGGATTCTTCATGACAGCCTTGACGAAGATAGCCAGACATGCACACATACATACGGAATCCTTACCTACCTACAGACATACATGAATACGAACATACATGCATTCGTGTATGAAGGAACCAAGATGCACATACAATCATGTATGCATGCAAACAAACATGCAAACACACATACACATACCTATGTATGTAAGTAACATGTATGTATGTATGTATGTATACATGCATGCATGCATGGATGGATGGATGGATGGATGCTTGCATGGATGGATGGAAGGACGGAAGTAGGTATGTATCTATGCATGTTGTCTTTAGGTATGTAGGTAGGTACGCACGTACGCATGCTACATATATGTATGAGTGCATGTGTGTGTATATATATATATATGTATGTATGCATATATGTATGTATGCAGGTGTGTATGTGTGCATGTGTATGTGTATGCATATGGGGATGTGTATGTGTATGCGTATGAACTCAGTTTGGGAGCGTTCCGGGTTGTTCTTCCGGTAGAGTCTTGTAGTAGTCAGTTTTTCGGGTTCACAAGCTCTCGAAAGTCCAGGGCTGCTGGGATTTCGGGCTCCGGTCCTTGCAGATGAGGCTGCGCAGGGAGCCGGCAGGGGCTTGTGCCGGCTCGGTAGGCGCGAGGAAGTCCTCCAACTTCGTCTTGTCTGCCGGCCACTCCACCTCGTAAGGTTGTTTAAGGTTCTAGACGGTTGTAGTGTTCGGATGGCTTAGGGCTCACATTTCCACTCCACCTCGTAGCAGTAGATGCTCGTTCCTGGCGCTGTGAACTTGGAGCGCATGTTCCTGTAGAAGCCGTTGGTGACATAGATGTTGTCAACCTTGCCGCAGCCGCCACCGAACTCGATGATGGTCTCGCCCTTCTTGAGCGCATCGTACTTCTTACCCAGCTCGTCGGGGCTGATCCCCAGCTTCTCAGCACCGTCCATGGCGTTGAAGACCAGCCCATCTTCCATCACCTGACATTTTGAAGAGCTCCCTTATGTTCTCGGGTTCTGGTCATAAGGCTCTCGGTATACGTGGGGTCTATAAATTGGGATGTTATGCGTTCCCGCCTTGCTCCAAGCGACGCCGAATTGCTTCTCGAACTCTGCCTGCGCCTTCTCCTGCACGGTGAGCTCCGAAGGCTTCTTCATGACCGCCCCCAGCGATGTGCCTGTGCCATGGCACTCCCAGCAAGTCGACTCCGGTGGGGTCATCTTCGCTTCCCGGATGGCACGCGAAATAATCTCCTCCTGCGCGGGCCCGTTAGGAGCCGTCAGGCTCGCGCTGCGCCCATCCTGGCCAACTTGTGAGGCGCGGTAGATCGTAGATGCCTGCTCGTAGTCTCCGTACCTCAAGATCATGCCTGAGCTCCGAAGACACCGAAATTTATGAGACAGGAGCGAGACGAGTCCACCCACCTGAGGTGCCCTCGCCGCGAAGATATCCGTTGGCGGTGGAGTCGAAAGTGAAGCAGCGGCCCTGTGGCGAGGTCATGTGCCCCCTGAGTCGTCGGGCCCGACGTCATGCTGACATGCAGAAATGCAGAGAAACTGAAAGCGGCTGGGACCAGGACAGTGCGCAGCCCACCCAAGGGCCCGGGGACAGGCAGAGGTGGGTGCCGGTGGCCACATGAAAGTCCAGGACGTCCCAAACACGATCCAGCAACAGCCTACAGCTTTGCGATGCCACACAGCTGGTTACGAGCTAGAGATGCCGAAGGACCCGAAGACCCAGTCAGACCGAGGGTGCCGCTGCTTCGCGAGGTGCGTCGCCGTCAGGGAGGCGGAGCAAGCCTTACTGGTAGAAGAGTACAGGCGTACGAAGCCTGCAACGGGTCTCTCCTCTCTGAGCTCCCCGAGACCCGCGCAGTGTCGCAGATGTAGTTTGGGCCCTTAAGGTTGAAGACGAAGCTGAAGCGGTTGGCGATGATCGCCAGCGCGTTGTTGCCACCGGTCATTACCCCCAAGGTTGGGAAGTCCGCTTTGTCCACGCCCACAGACACGCCCACATGGTGCGACCGCTTGTTGGACACCTCCGAAAGTGCAGGCATCTACCCGTCTCTGCCCGCCGGCCCCTCTTCCATCCCGAGAGATAGAGATTGCGAAAAGATAGATCGAGATAGAGATGTGCAGAGAGTCTGTAAAACTAGTGTAATTGTTTCGGAGCCCTTTTCTTGTGGAAGCCTTCTTGGAGATGCCCATCTGCTGCAGCAGCGCGCCGCCCACCTCCAGGACCTGCCGCTGCAGAGGGTCCATGGTCACGGCCTCGTTGTTCGAGATCTCCTCAGAGTGCAGGTGGTCCGCGGGGCCGAACTTTAGGGCCTTTCTGGCTTAGGCCCGAAAGATCCGACAGAGACAGAGATGCCAAAGGCAGCTTCCGCTTGCGATAGCCTCGCATGCTCAAGCTCTAAACTGCACGTGGCTAGGGCCCAGCCCAGTGGCCAAGTACTTGTCGTCGAAGAGCTCGATACCTTTAGCACCAGGTGCGTGGGATGTTGTATCGGAGGCTCGTTCAAGAGACAAGCCAGAAAGCAACAGCAACATCTGTAGCCCTCCTAAAGTGAGGATGCACCTACAACCCTACATCTGCAACCCTGGTCTGTTGGTCGCTCTGAGCCCGGCGCCGTCGACGAAGGAGGTGTGCCTTTGGTTCATCTTCGGATTCATCACGTTGATCTCGTCGGGATTCTCCTTGGAGACTTGGCGGTTTCCAGGATTCAGAATATTTGCGGCTTCAGGGCTGAGACTTTACTGTGTTCACTATCAGGCTCATGAAGATTTGCTTCATGGGTTCAGGATGACATCGTCGGGGGGGGACACCAGCGCCTTGGATGGTTCGAGGCTCCGCCACACATACCCGAAAAACACCAAAAGCCCGAAAGCCCTCAAAGCCCCAAAGACCTGAATCCCTTGTCCAAAAGATGGCCTGCATGGCTTGGACTGCAGCCAGCTGCTCGCAATTCCGCTGGCAGAGCTTCAGTAGGCAGAAGCCCTTCCGTATGCACGAGAAACGTGCAAATTCACTATTCACGTCTTGCAAAGAGAGGTGTCTTGAGCCACATATGCCCAAAAGACGCACTCCCGTGATCCAAAATCTGCGTATGAGGGTCTCAGTCTCACTGCAAGTTCGAACGTGTCCCTTCTGAAAGGCTGCAAGACGACCACACGGCGCGACACGGTCGTGCTCTGCACCATTTTATTTGGAAGCAGTCGCGAGTTGCTCTGTGATCTACATGGGTCCTCCACCTACTCGCGGGCCACCTCTACATGGTCCCACGGTTCTAAACCTATGGTCTCAACCCCTTCTACATGGGGCTCCAGGAGACGCCGTAGGCGTTTCGGAGGCAGAGCAGCTCCAGGCGTACGCAGGAGCTCGGCGCCGCCTTCACGGACCAGCAGCTTCGCAAGCCCTCCTGGCGATGAAGAGACGAAAGCAAGAAGGGAGATGCTGTGGTTTGGGGCTTTCGTAGCAGGGAGCGTGTGACGGAGAGCGATTGGGCTTGCAGCCCTTCTGATTCTGAGCGTCTTTGAATTGCGGGCTGTTTCTGGAGTCTGGGGCTTTTGGACGGGAGGAGACGGCACCTGAGGTCCCAGGACCCGCGCCAGCTTCTCTGTGCACTTGTCTTTCTCTGGTGCCAGCACCAGCTGCTCGTTGCCATTCTTCAGGAACCGGAACTCCAGCACACCTAAGCCACAGCTACCTAGGTCGCCTCTGAAACGGTGTACATAGATATATTTTCTACTATCGATAATACGAAAAACAAACAAATATTTAGATAGATAGGCAGATAGACACACGCACACACAGAGCGGGACACATCAAGGGAAGGCTGAAGCTGGAAACCCCTCTGAGCACCGTCCGAGGGCACGAAGACGACCATCGAGAAGTGTCCAGGGGCTCCGGGCGCCAGGGTGTCCTGTTGCCAAGAGTTGAAGCTGCCAGTGACGGTGTAAAAGTCCGTCAGCGATTCCTCGGGAAAAGGCGGTGACGTTCTTAGAGCTTCATTCTGCAGGCGAAATGCTAACATCCAATGGGTGAGCATGGCAGTGACAGGGCGTAAGCCGACACATGGCCCATGCAGACACAAATGCTCTCGAATCTGGCACGCCGCTCGAAAGCTGCGAATATTCTGAAACGGAGAAGAATATAACTGTGTACGAACTACCGCTTGTATCTACGACAAAACAAGCCGAACAGGACGCGCCTCTTAAACACTCGGAAATCTGCAGGTCGATTGTACCCAAAATCCGATGTCCCTCCTCTGAAGGAACAAAGGTATTTGAAGACCCTGATATCCCCGAGAATAACTGCAGGCTCACAGGGACAACTACTGATTGACACATTCGGGGGGTTGCACACAATCCTCTCCAACTCTCGTTCCTGCCTCAGACAGGTCTTGATCGGCGCCATGTCAAAGCAGTTGTGACTGTGAACCCTCTTCTCCCACGGTGCGACGGCTACATTAATTTGATCAGCTGCGAACGGCGACGCTCGATCAACCCTTTTCCGGCTCGGACTCTGCAGAGCTCCCGTGTTGCCAAGCTGCGCGTTGCTCAGAGGCATCCCGCACCTCCCACGGTTCGCAGATGTTCGCAGATTTCGAGCTTGTCAAAGCTGTAGAGGTTGAGGGCTTCGGGGGTAATGGTTGGGGATCGAGTTGTGAGCTCAGTGCCTGCAGCTTTGAGCCTCACCTCCCAAGATAGAAGGAACAAAGCAACAAGACAGAAGATCCCATCATCAGAGCAGGGCGCAGAAATGGACTGGACCCTGAAGCTGTTACGGAAAAGTCTGTACTTGTTAGTTCCGTGTTCAATGGATCCTACATGACAACTGGGCTTCCGGAGCAGCAAGCAAGTGCAATATCCCGGAACATCATAGTTCAACGCCTCAGAGACACGTTCATGACTCTGCAGGAGCCAAACCCTAAATTGCTAAAATCCGAACCCTAAAACCCTGAACTACCAGGCCCTAGACGCCTTGACCCACTTGATCGGCTCGTCGATGGGATCCTCAGGCCGGAGGACGATGCCTGTGCACGAAAGAAAGAGTTCGGACATCCCAGGGGTAGTATGTATGCGAGCAGGCAGGTGTGCATGTACTGCCTCTACACCCACACGCGCACACACACACACACAGAGACAAACATGCCTACATGATCTAATATGTGCAGGAAGTCCGTGCAAAGACTTTGCGGCCGAGCGACTGTAAACATCCCCGGGCAGCGGATTCTTCTCCGGAAGGTCGGCTTCCCAGTCCTTTGGGTTCCCGAGGCAATCGGTCGAGACACAGGCCGCAGGGTTCCCAAGGCTCAGAGTCTCGTCGTGCTCTTAGGGATAAGAGGGCTCGGGACTCAGAGAGGTTGGGTGACGTTAAATTGAAGGTTCACTTCGGTCCTTCGGGTCGTTGCCGATGACTCGGATCTCGGCCGGGGACATCCGCGCGATGCGCCGCAGCAGCAGCGCCTGGACATCCTGCTTTTGGCGGCTCTTCCCCCAGAAGACGCAGTGGCCGTTGGTCCCCCCGAAACCTCCAGGTTTAGGGTTTGGGGCTGAGTCGACTTATACTTATACAGGACTACAGGTGCTCATGGGCATGAGGTCTCGGGTTTGTCAGGGTTTTGGAAGCCCCAAGACCGAAGGAAGAAATCTGCGCGTGCCCGCGCTCGGCAGCAAAAGAAGAGCGCTCGGTCTCGAAGAAGGCATCGAAGATGGTATGCTCCAGATGTGGATTCAGCTGTCGGACATGCAAAGATGCTAAGCACTGTCCCTGTTGCACCGTCAGCACAGACTTCACCATTGCAGCCATTGCTGCACCACCTTCCAAGTGGCCGATGTTCGTCTTGTTACTTGACATCATCAAAGGCTCGCTACGTGGCACCTTTCGCTGGATCTTCCGGACGGCTCCAATTTCGATGGGGTCCCCCAGCGATGTGCCTGTGCCATGGCACTCCCAGCAAGTCGACTCCGGTGGGGTCATCTTCGCTTCCCTGATGGCACGCGAGATGATCTCCTCCTGCGCGGGCCCGTTGGGAGCCGTCAGGCTCGCACTGCGCCCATCTTGGCCAACTTGTGAGGCCCGGTAGATCGTAGATGCCTGCTCGTAGTCTCCGTACTTCAGAATCATGCCTGAGCTCCGAAGACACTGAAATTTCTGAGACAGGAGCGAGTCGAGTCCACCCACCTGAGGTGCCCTCGCCGCGAAGATATCCGTTGGCGGTGGAGTCGAAAGTAAAGCAGCGGCCCTGTGGCGAGGTCATGTGCCCCCTGAGTCGGGCCCGACGTCATGCTGATATGCAAACATGCAAAGGAACTGAAAGTGGCTGGGGCCAGGACAGTGCGCAGCCCACCCAAGGGCCCGGGGACAGGCAGAGGTGGGTGCCCGTGGCCACATGAAAGTCCAGGACGTCCCAAACTCGATCCAGCAACAGCCTCCAGCTTTGCGATGCCACACTACTGGTTACGAGCTCGAGATGCCGAAGGACCCGAAGACCCAGTCAGACCGAGGGTGCCGCTGCTTCGCGAGGTGCGTCGCCGTCAGGGAGGCGGAGCAAGCCTCACTGGTAGAAGAGTCCAAGCACACGAAGCCTGCAACAGGTCTCTCCTCTCTGAGCTCCCCGAGACCCGCGCAGTGTCGCAGATGTAGTTCGGGCCCTTAAGGTTGAAGACGAAGCTGAAGCGGTTGGCGATGATCGCCAGCGCGTTGTTGCCACCGGTCATTACCCCCAAGGTTGGGAAGTCCGCTTTGTCCACGCCCACAGACACGCCCACATGGTGCGACCGCTTGTTGGACACCTCCGCAAGTACATACCCAGAGAGAAGGTAGAGATGCAGAGAGATGCAGAGATAGAGATTGCAAAAAAAGATCGATAGAGAGAGAAATGCAGAGAGAATAACTATAAAGACGGTGTGGTTGTTTCGAAACCCGTGGTGGTGGAAGCCTTCTTGGAGATGCCCATCTGCTGCAGCAGCGCGCCGCCCACCTCCAGCACCTGCCGCTGCAGAGGGTCCATGGTCACGGCCTCGTTGTTCGAGATCTCCTCAGAGCACGGGGGCCTTGCGGGCCTTTTCCGGTTTAGGCCCGAAAGATCTGAAAGAGACGGCGATGCCAAAGGAAACTGTTGATTGCGATAGCCTCGCAGACTCAAGCTCTAAACCCCACGTGGCAATGGCCCAGCCCAGTGGCGAAGTACTTGTTGTCGAAGAGCTCGATACCTTTGGCACCAGGTGCATGGGATGTTATGTGTCGGAGGCTCGTTAAAAAGACAAACCAGAAAACAACAGCAAGCCCCGAAGCCCTCCTAAAGTGAGGGTGCACCTACAGCCCTACATCTGCAACCCTGATATGTCGGTCGCTCTGAGCCCGGCGCCGTCGACGAAGGAGGTGTGCCTTTGGTTCATCTTCGGATTCATCACGTTGATCTCGTCGGGGTTGTCCTCGGAGGTTTAGCGGTTTCCAGGATTCAGAAGCTTTACAAAGCTTTACGGCTTCAGGGCCCAGAGCCTTTACAGTGTTCGTTATAAGGCTCATGAAGATTTGCTTCATGGGTTCAGGATGACCTCGGCGGGGGGGGACACCAGCGCCTTGGATGGTTCGAGGCTCCGCTGGAGTTTGTGGTTGGTTTGTACGAGTAGGTTTCCGTGTGGCAGAGACTCTTCTTCTGATGTCGCGCTGAGGGTTTAGGCGGGTTGATTAGGTTTAGGGTGTCGGGCTCACTTTTAGTTGCCATTGAGGATCCGTGAAGTAGGCGGTCACGTCGAAGCGCGTGATGGGGACCTCGACCACTGCGTCCGTGCCCGCGTTCATCCCTGTGCTGTACATCTCCGGCTCGTCCCACAGGGCTGGCAAGCGGGTAGCGGTGTGGAGAACCTGAGAGGAAGACCCGTCGAACGGGTCCCTTCACAGATGCCATGCAACAATGGCTGAGCATTCCCCGCAACCAAGGACGCGACGTGGATTCCTTCCCCTTCTGGGGGCGGCGGGCCTCGAAGACGCACACAAGGCTCAGACTCAAGATTTCTGGTGCAAAAATAAAAGCTGATTGACCTGTCGGACATGGGCTCTTGGTCTTGGGCCCCCACCGCCGGGTGCCAGGTGACCCCCCAAGCAGAGCCAGGTGCTGGGGTCAAAGTCCTTGGAGGCGCTCACGAACCATCGCGGCTGCTCCTCAGCAGAAGGCGAACCCCCATACAATCAGTCGTAATGATGAGCTGTAGCAATCTGCACTGGGGAGAAGGCACATCACAACAATAAGACTTGCCTTAAACTTGGAGTATTACAGTACTTGCTCCTTGCGGTGTGGGAGGGCTCTCAGAATCTCTCACACTGAGAGACTGTCAGCCGAGGTGCAGAGAGGAAGGTGGCGCTGATGCCCAAACTCTCACCCTTCACCGTGGAAGACAGCACGAAGCACTCGGGGCGGTAGAGCAGCAGGGTCCCCGGGTCCGCGGTAAGGCGAATCACTTCCTGCGATTCACGGACTCCGTGAAAAGGTGTCAGTGCCACTCGGTATCCCTTATTAAACCTGTGTGCTCGGGAGAGAAGTCTGAGTCTTCCGAAGCGACAGGGCTCCTGCTGCAAAGGCAAGGCTGCAGCTGCAGGGCCCTCGCGAGTCTCCAGCTCCAAGGTCACAGAGCTGGGGCCCATGAAGTGCCACGCACGGACAAGGCCTCCGATCGACAACTGACGCAGGCGCGACCCAGACCCTAACCCTGCACCTTTGGTTCAACACCCTGAACCCGAAACATAAAACTTGATCACCAACACTAGACCCTCTTCCGTAAATTTGTGGGACCGTCGACCTAGGACGGCCATCATGTTGGCATCATCCACATCTTCTATGTATCGCAACAGTTCACTATCGAATGCTACGACTAACAACATTGTAACTAGCTGCAAGCAGAGCGGTAGCTGATACTTGTAGCTCCTTCTAGTAAGACAGGTAAGAAAGGACACCACTGGGGTGCCTCGGCGCCACGCCGAGAGGAAGTCGCCCAGCATCCTCCGAGCTGAAATCTCTCGGAGTTCTATGAAATTCCATAGCAACCCCCTGACCTAACATCCTGTCACAGAAGCCCTGTACAGCCCTGGGCAGCCACAAAGAACTCAAAATCCGAAAGCCGAGCTACATGAGCAAACTACGCGGTGTCCTGTCATCCACCGGAGGCTGGGGGTAGTCCTCCTCCTCCTGGCACAGAAGACCGGGAAGCGCAAGCGGGACTTCACTGGAGATGATGAGGGCTGCGGGGCTTTGGGTATTTTGGGTCTTGGGATTTAGGTGTTTTGGGACCCTGGGGCTTCGGACTATGTAGACGATGACTAAACAGGCGCCTCCTCGTCGAGCGAGAGGCTCAGCAGGGCCGGGGTGCGCTCGCGGAGCGGCTTCTCGAAGACATCTCCGCTGAAAGGTGCCAGCACCGAGGCGATGTAGGAGAGGTTCCTTTGCTGGGGGAAGCGAAGCGAAGTTCAGGTTGGGGGAGTTTCGGGGTTTTGGGGATTTGGGGAGCCGTTTTTCCCTTTGAGGGGTGACACTGCTGAGCCCTTGGCTGATCCGCCGCCAGCAGCGCTTCGTGAGCCGGCGTGGCATTCGGGTCCAGCCATAGCACCCGGCCCTTGGCGCCCAGGCCGAGGTAGCCTCGCTCAGTCAGAATGAGCAGCCTTCCATTTTATCGAAGGAGTCTTCCGGTATTGCCCTTGCTCCGAGCATGCATAGAGACAAAGAGGCTCTACTCCGCAAGCCACAAACTCCTGCCTTCCTCCAGCTCCTCGGGGAGCCGCCCCAGACGCCCTTCTTCTCCCAGGTCCTGGTTATAGCTCTCGGAGAGCTCTCTCATAGCCACTCACAGGGTTCCCTTGCGTTCATATTTCTAAAGTTGAAGGAACAGTAATGGAAAGCATTCACGAAAGAAGTTCATAGGAAGATGGCAACAAAAAATTGAGAGCCCTCCCCCTGAACCCTACAACTTCATAAACCTCAAAAGCCACATACCCTAAAACACCTGAAGCCCGAAAGCCCTCCAAGCCCTGAATCCCTTGTCCAAAAGATGGCCTGCATGGCTTGGACTGCGGCCAGCTGCTCGCTTTTCCGCTGACAGAGCTTCAGCAGGCAGAAGCCCTTCCTGGGTTGCAAGAAAAAAGTAACTGTGTATATATGTGTATCTGTACATGTCAGTGTATGTGTATATATATATATATAAACACACCGTCTACACACATCTTATGCAGAATGCAGGATTTAGGGTTTAGAGTGCAGGCTTCAATTACTTTCCCAGAGTGCCACCCAGCTACTCGAAAAGGCAGAAGGACATCTCCTCGCCCAGAACGGCATCGCGGGTCAGCGGGCCCAGCACCTGCGCTGCCATCGAAGCGGTCATGCTGTGCGAAACACCGCAACTGTTGCTGTAAGGTTAGCTACAAGCTATGTAGGGGCCAACATACGGTGTCTATAGCCGGTCGTTGCTTGAGTGAAAAAGGCGGCAAAGCCACGATGTCGAAGGCGGGGCCCGGGTCGCTCTCTTCCGTGCCAGCGGCTCGTTGCAGCGGCTTTGACACAGAGGCAGAGGTGGCCGAGGTGGAGGGCACACGGGACCCATCCAGGAGCACCTTTAGAAACTTTAGAGGGCGGACGTGTGGCTCTTCTTGTAGGGTTTTCTTCTAGTGTTCTGAATTCTAGGACTCTTAGATTACAGGCTTCTTGAAATGGTTTTGAGTTAAGGGGTGTAGAAAGGCTTGCTTGACAGCAGGAGCACCACATCGGAATGTTGGAGCTGGCCCAAAGCGCCATCCACCGAGACGAGACCTCAGAGAGCGATTCGCCTTATCACCCTGAACGCCCAAACCCTAAATCTCAAACCCTAAAAGACCCAAACATGTTCAAGCCCTCAAAACGCCCAAGACCAGCAACCGAATTCTAAACCTAACAGGCCTGAGACCACATGGCTGTCTATTTTACGTCAGATACAGCCAAACTTCAAAAACCCTTCCAAACGCCAGACCCTGCGAAACCCCTAGGCCAAGGACCTCAAACCCCTCTACTTTCTAAGCCCTGCAAAGTTTCTTTAGGCCCTTGAAGACCAACAGGAGCCCTTTGAGGAAGCCGTTAAAGGAGCCCTTCAGGGATCGGCTTCTGAGGCCAAGAGGCTACCAGGTCTCAGAGCGGCCATCGCCTGAAGCACTCGGCAGGTCCCCGGGAACTACCGAGCAGGGCTCTAGAGGGCGTGGAACCGCCGGTCGAGTATGGCTGTAATGAGGGGGGGGGGGTCTACGGGGCGTCGTTTTTGGGCCCTCGTAAGGGAATTATATGGAGAGTCCTGTCAGATATTCATAAGGGTTTATGGAAGGTTTTGTTGGGGTATGTTGTAGGGTGATGGTTTCAAAATCGGAAAGCAGCTAATTTAGGGTCCTTTCTAGTTACAAGGTTCTTCGATTGAGGGTTATGGCTACAAGTGTCGCCTGATTTTCTGCAACTCCCGAAGCGAAATGCCCTCTGTATCCAGCCGGCCTTCAGCGACGCCTTCTGTGCCGCCCCATGAGGCAGGCACAATCAAGTCATGAGGCGAAGCGGCCGCGGCGCTGTCACGAGCATCTCTCTCCGCGGTGCTCGCTCAATCGTTCAATCTCTTGACCCCGAGTATAGCTCAACCCAAAACACCAAAGGCAGTGGCCTGAATACCCGCACGTCTGCGCAGCGCCAAGGTGCATAACAAGCGGACAGCTGAGACACAGACGGAACAACAAAAAACACAAACCACGTGTGACGCAAAAAGAGAAAGCGTATGTGATCTTCAGGGTTGCAGGATGTTTCATTACGATGATGGACCTCGTGTCTAGACCACAACGCCATCTGGTAAGCGAGCGGCGGCAGCGCACCGCTCGTCGCGACGATGGCTCCGTTTTTGAGTCGCGAAGCGGATGCAACAGGGCAAGAGGCTTGGATTTAGGGCCTCCAGCTTCTTTCGCAAGCTGAACTCTACGATGCACCTTCCCCGAGATGACTTTGGGCTTCTACCCCCAAAACTTGGCCGAAGAATGCTTCGAAGCACCCAGGGCTGCTAAATCACACCCCTGCTAAATCAAAATCTCCAAGCACTTGTGTCGGCGGAAAGCAAAATCTGAAAATCTTACTTGCCCAAAAGCCCAAACCCTAAACCCCCAACACCACAAATCGCGGCAAACCTCTGAGGATCTGAAAAACCTTACACCCTATACCCTCAACCACAATCCGGAGACCTGGGGACGGGGCCGGGACGCGTCAAGAAGTTCTCGATGCAGAATCACCGCCAGCTTGCGATCATCCTCGCCGAGGTTTGGGGCATTCCGGGCTTCAGGGTGTCGTGTCGCGGGTCCAATCACGGTGAAGGGTTAAGGGATGTTTAGTCTTTGGGAGGAAGGCTGCAGGGTGAAGGGCTTTCTGCATCTTCAGGATCCACACAGTAAACAGCACACTGAAACAGTCGTGCTGCGTGTGTTTGCTTGTTCCTCGGGGCGGTTCTTCGGGCGGTCCTACACCCCTGCTTCCGAAGTTTTAGTTAGCAGAACCCTTGCCCATTTTGGGTAATAATACCACCAGTCAACCCATAGACGATTATTCCTATACTCCCCCCTACACCTCACCAACTATATCACCACTACTTCCCCATTACCATTACCAGTATAGGAATAACCGATTACCTCATCTATATAAGAGGAATATTCCTATACTCCCTAACACTTCCCCCCAAATATCACTACTACTCCCCCATTACCAAGACCAGTATAGGAATAACCAATTACCCTATCCATATTCCCTAAGGTGGTATTATCATCCCAAAGTGGGCAAGGGTTCTCTCATAGATTTTACTTGGTTTAGTTTCAAAGGTTGTAATCATAATAGAATTATATTCCATAAACTCTTATGAAATGTGCTTACATTATACTTATGTTTTTCTTAACTCACGTTTCCTTTTATCATTATACTTTTTCATTTCATCAAGACATTCACAGCAAGTAACAGTGGTTCTACACTGCATTAAATACCTCCCCGTTTTACAATAATAATATCTTTTGAAATGCACTAAGTTCTTCCACTCTTTACATCTAACACACTGCCTTTCACAATGGGGAGGATGACGCTCGGCAGAGCCTCGCGAGCATTCGCGACCCTCTGTATTAAAATCCATTGTTATTTTATCAACATATATTGTCATATTATATTATTTTACAATATTTATCATAATTCGTTAATTATGATAAACCTTGTTTCAAACTAATTAACCATTACCACGCTCTTATGACGTGCTTATGGAAGGCACACTGGGGAAATGGGAGAAATGGGGCGCTGTCGCTACTGTAAGTAAATCACTCTTTACAACATTATTTTAGCAATTCTTCCAGCTGATAAAACTCAAACAACAATTTAAATCGCTTCTTGTAATTTATATTATTATACAATTTTCTTATCAATTTTAAACTTCAATTTTTCAATCTCCACTTCCAATCGTTCTATGTCTTTCTTAATACATTCAATGTCTGTCTCGGTCATTTCTATTCTCTGTTCGCATTCCTCGGGTGTTATACCATGAGTTCCAAAACCAGTATCACATATTTCAACGCTTCCTGTTTGATTATCATTTTTGAATATGTGGTTTTCATCAGGTGATACATGTCGACCTGTTGCTCCAAATTTCATATTATGCCTGTCTTCCACAATGTTAGTTGTTATTATGGTATTTTCTTTGATCGTTTTTGTTTCCTTATGGTAAGATTGTCTTTTACACCTACAAGGGATGCAAGCTACACCTTTAGAATTAATGAAAAACCCTTTCTTCTTATAGCTTTCATCGCTTTTATCGCTCATTTATATTATTTACATTTTTTAACATTTTTGATATAAAAGCAGAATGCCTTAAGGAATTCCAACAAACTACGACAACACATTCTATATCTGGGAGTTTTTATTATTTCATCAAATTTCTCTATCTCATTTATTACTTCTATGTATTTATTCATATATATTTAAATGATATAATTTCTAACTAGTATTAATGTTAGAAGATATTCCTAAAGTAGAACCTATAGACATACCCAAATACAATTATAAGAATAGTAAATACGAGATGATGCCAAGTCTACCAGCAAGAATGCTGTGTGTTGCCTCTTCAACAGGTGGTAAATCTGTTTTAATACAAAATCTAATTTTAAAGATATACCGTGGTTCATTTGAAAGGATATACATTTTTAGCCCTAGTGTTCATGTTGATGACACATGGAGAGCAGCCAAGAAATATATTACTGCAGCATTGAAAGTGGATACCGAAAAAGAAAAAGTGTATTATGAAGAATACGATCCAATTGCATTAAAGCATACAATAGAAACACAACACAAGATAATAGACTTCCAGAAGAAGAATAAACAAAAGGAATTATTCAGTATTTTAATCGTGGTGGACGACTTTGCCGATGATCCTAAATTTGTAAGATACTCCAATATCTTGCATGGATTGTTCACACGCGGAAGACATAATGCCATCTCATGCATTTTATCGACGCAAAAATATAATGTCCTTGCCCCTATAATAAGACTTAATGCCTCGGCACTTTTCATATTCAGACTGAAGAACATGAACGAGGTAAATAGTTTCCTAGAAGAGAATAGTGCCCTTGTAGACAAGCGAACACTTTATGACATGTATCAACAAGCGGTGAATTTTGCACCGTACTCGTTCTTTTATATAAACACAAATGCTAAAGATGTGAATAACATGTTTTATATTAATTTTGAACAACGCTTTGAAATAGGTGACCAATAACATTATTTCCTAAAATATTATTATTAGTCACGACTTCGTCCTGAGGGCGAACTTCGTTCGCCGTCACGGCTTCGCCCTGAGGATGCTAAAGCATCGTCACTATCACTCTTGTTTTTCTTCAACTTACTTACTTCCTGTTTCAGTTTATCTACTTCATTTATTGTTGCCTGTAAAGCACTCCATAAAATTGGCACACATGTTGTGTAATCAAATTTTAAATAACCATCTTTTCCTTCTTTTACTACATTCTGCCATTCGTCGGGCATCTTCTTCGTTTCCATAAAATCATTAGCAATAAATCCTACACACGATTTACCTTGTTGTCTGTCATCAATAAAATGATATGTTTTCGGCTTAATATATTCTACTAGTTCTACTGCTTTTTTACTATTTACTTCCTTTATATCTTTCTTTAATCTTTTATCCGATGAAGGAATTAACGACCCTGTATATGAAAGGTCGCCATAAACATCAACACCTGTTGTTGTTGCATCTAATGTTGATAAGTTGTTATTACTTAA